TCCATATCGTCTAGTACTAATATCTAATACGAGTGCCCATATCGAAAGCCTAGGCACATATGTTCAGCATAAAGTCTGCAACTTCATATTGGGTTTTTGGCAGCCGAAGTGAAATTTCACTTTTGGCCCAGCTGTCATGAATTTTGTGTTGGCCAGAATGCGGAAAAACAAGTCAATTGTTGGGCGCATGTTTAGTGTATAGTATATGGCATATTTGTAGAGATCAATCATGGTGTGGGCGCATCGCCGATAGCAGCCAGTGCAATAACCAACTGAAGAGTGCGCTCAAGGCTTCTCTGCAGGCCCAAGTCAACGCACTCGGCCAGAAAAAAAAAAAAAAAACAGCTGTACTCAAGTTCACATGCAAATTGAAAATCACCAAAATTGGCGGCATTAGATTTATGATAATGCTTAGCAGATTGACGACGATGCCGCCGCCTCTTCTGTGATTTATGCCGTTCGATTCTATGCTGAACGCTTTGACAGCTGCCACACACAACTTCCGTACGGTTCATTGACACGAGCACCTAAACGCTTGTAGGCCGACACAGCCAATAACAGCGGCAATCGGGCCATTTATCAGCATGCGAGTCCATGCATTCGCTGTGCAATAGAATACCCGTCAAGGTATTAGGTGTCAGCCACTTACAGTGAGAGCCACTGTCGTCGCATCCTTAGCTGTCAGCTGTAACTTGGAGCCGCAGCTCTGACGCACTTTTAGCCATCGATTCGTGCACATGCCGCTGCTTAAAATGATTTCCTCTTGTCTAACCGACGACAATTTGCTCAAGCTGACAGCCGCATGTCCACCCACACGGCCCCACGAGAAGCTTCAGCAGATTCCCTCACCTGACAGTCGCCAAAACAAAACAAAATACACACACAAAAATACAAAAAATTGCTCAGATCATTCATTCAGATTTAAGCATTTAAATTCAATTTATTTATTTTTTCGGCAGCTCGTAGGAACAAAAAAAAAATCTGTGTCGCTGTGCCAACAAACAAATTTTGTTCTAATGACTTTTGCTAAATATAAAAATATATATGTATATAAATATAATATAAAATATATGTATAACTACATACCTGTCTTTTGTTCGCTTGGTGTGGTTCATAATTTCAATTATTAATTTTTGACTTCTTTTCTGAAATTATACAGCTATTCAAATCAGGCTTGGCTTTTATTGGCATTGCTGATTTGACATTACGGAAGCAAGTTGGCTTTAAAGGCAATTCCCGTCGGGCACAAAAAAAAAACATTTGCAATCATTAAGAACAGCTTTGTCGCTTAACGGTTTAATATTGGCTATAAACTTCTTGAATAATGTATATCCAAAACTGAGCCGATTGCCGATTGCTTAAAACACGATGAGTCACTAAGAGAGAAGCCTCTGAATGAATAGATAGGCATATATTAGATCTGAATTGGGCATCGAGTCACAAGATTCACCACGGACACCCGCACGTGCCATTATTTATTTATTTGTTCGAAAAACTTTCCATCTCAAGAAACTCTGCTTTTTGCTACTCTTTCGTAAAATTATATAAATATTTTCTATTTACATTTGCTCCATATCAAAAATTGACTGGCTTAATTTATGATATTAAGAAGATTATAATTGGACCAGGCCTTTCCGTTAAAAAAGTATTGAAATGGTAAAAATTTTATGAAATTAAAGTTAAAGTTATATATATATATATACATATATATAAATAAATATTTTTGTATAATTTTATCTTTATATTCAAGTATGTATATATATATATATATCACATTAAATATTATTTTTAAAATTGTACACAAATTTATATATATTCTTCCACTTTCATTTCATTTTCATCCAAATTTTCAAATTATGAAATTTTCGCTTTTCAGCTATGCTTCAATCGTTAGGAAAACAGTTTTCCTAGTAGACTTTTCGCTATTGAATAGCCAAGCGATTGAACGTCTCTTCTGCTCATCGTCAAAGAGCTCATTAAAATGCAGATTAAATCGACGTTGTTTTTTCGATAAATATTTTTGTATTTCAAGTATCCAACTCAAAATTCAGTTTTGCAGCCATTTTTTATACCCTGAACCCATTTTCAATGGGAAATCAGGGTATAATGGTTTTGTTGAAATGTATGTAACAGGCAGAAGGAGGCGTGGCAGACCCCACAAAGTATATATATTCTTGATCAGGGCGACGAGCTGAGTTGATTTGGCCCTGTCCGTCTGTCTGTCCGTCTGTCCGTCTGTCCGTCCGTCCGTCTGTCCGTCTGTCCGTATGTATGAACGCGTCGATTTCAGAAGATATAAGAGCTAGAGACTTCAAATTTTTTTTAAAATGTTCGTAATTACAGCGCGCATATCAAGTTTATCATTAAAAATCGATAACTCATCCCGATCTTTTTTTATCGATAAAAAACCTTATCGAAAACCAGTTATAAAATTATATCTTCTACACCTTTATTGCTAGAGTCTCCAAATTTTTAATGTATGCTTATATGCAATTTATACAATTTCGGTTTTTGTTAAAATTTACCCCCCACCCTTAAATTCACCCCCCTCACCCTCACTTTTGTAAAAAGCGTATTTCAAATACTAGAGACTTGTGCTTTGGCAATTACATGCATATCCATGTCATAATCATAATCTGAAAGTTTCATGAAGATCGTACGTCCACAAAAAAGTTATTAAGCAATTAAGTTCTCATAGTAAGCGCTCACTGCCGTCCATGCGTGTTTATGCTTGTGTGTGTATATGTATGTAATTGTTTGTGTATGTGGGGTGTGTGTGTGTGTGTGTGTGTGTGTGTGTGTGTATATGTGTATGTATGTGTGTGTATGTATGCCTGTGTGTGTGGTGCGTGCGTGCGTGTGTGTGTGTGTGTGTGTGCGTGTTTCTTGTGTAAGCTGAAAGACGCGAAAAATTATTGAAATAGCTATTACTCCAAGGGTTCAGGGGATCTCGTAGTCGAGTAGTCTCGACTAGAGCTTTCTTACTTGTTTTCTCAGTAATTGGCAAATGTCAGTGCGAAGGAAAAAATTGCTTTCGTTTGTTATCCACACATGCATATATATGTATATGTATATGTATATATACCATATATATATATATATATATATATATATATATATACCATATATGTATCAAATTTTGAGAGAGCGGCGTTTTTTCACGCATAGTTGAATCGAGTGAATCATAAAATAAATAAACATTTGGGTTTGCTTTCAGTTGCTGCTGCTGTTGTTGTTGTTGCTGCTGCTGTTTCATTTTCGGGTTTGGGTTTTTGTTATGGTGTCCGCACTGCTGAGTGACAGCTACGCATCCGCTGAAGCTGAGAGCTGAGAGCTGCGCGACGGATGCTGAGTGTAGGGGGTCATAGGGTCGCCGCTCATCTTGATTGGAGGTGTGTGCGTGTGTTCTATTTGTGCAGAGCTGTCACCCCTATGCAGCAAATCGCAAAGATAGCAAACTTTGGCGCCAAGAGGTGACTGACTCACAGGTAAGCTAGCATGCCTGCTGATTAGTCACGCCCCATATCTTTATCTTGCGGTACAAGTGGTGGTAGCCAGTGTTGAACCAACTTGAAATTAATCGCCAAACGGCATTGCCAAACATTTCAGAACGCCCATACGCCCCCCACGTGTGCCACCAAATATGAATGGGCCCAGTTGCATGAGCTGAACTTGAAATGGGCAAACCCGTTGGCTTTGTGAATTATTTATTGCGTGGTGCGGCACTTGTCACCACTCGGCACCACTCAACGCCCCATTTACAGCAGCTGCTGACCACCACCATTTGTGACAATCAAAGTTCTGAACGAATATTAGTTTACTTTTATTTTTTTTGTTCCATTCATTTCTCATTTCCATTTTATTTGAAGCGAGTCGCAAACTCTAATACTTTTTTTCTCCTTTTTGTAGCTCCCGCTGAATGTATCAATTAATATGGTCACGTATATGAAAAAGCATTCACAGCATTCGCAATTGAATTTTTGAGCTGCGACTCCCTAAAGTCCACAGTTGTCGTCAAGTGCCTGTTCGTGTTCTAGAGCTCTTGTGCTGTATGCGAGTAAGCTGAAAAGTGTGTTTTTTTTCAGCAGAGGTTCGATCGATACATTGTTAAATATGTTGAACGTAATTATTATTAAAGCTAAAATATTGTGAATTGTAAATACGTCTGTATATAGTTAAATTAAATTTCAATTATGGTTTTTAAAAATATAGATACCTAATTTCTAATTGTATTCTCTCAACAGCCAAATTCATTTTCGATTCATTTCATTTCTAGATTCCCAGTCTCTACCTGAAAATATTAAACAGATTTCACACACGCGTTGCCCATCAGCCCTTTATAGTATTTCTCTCTACCCAAGATTCTCGATGAAAATCATTTTTATAAATAGATATATTTCAAAAGCATTTCTTGCAAACTTCTGAATATACCCTCTATTATGTCATACATATCATCTATCGTGCATGAAGACTGCGTGGGCAGTCGCAGATAAAACAAGTTTGGCTGCAAGAAAAAATAATTGAAATTAATGAAAAAACGAATAAAGTCCAGCCAATAAAAAGACACAATAATTAATTATTTTTTAAGACACATATTCTTTTATTTAAATAGTTGTTGTTCTCTTGGAATAGCATATTTTATTTCTTTTCGGTTTTTTTTTTTTTTTTTTCATCTTTGAAATTTGCAGCGTAACGAGAATATACTTGATAAAATAGATGTCTTGTTGTAGCTACCAATTTGTAATTGTACTGTAGTTATGTTTTTTTTTTACATTTCATTAGCTTGGTTTCATTTTGTTTCGGTTGCCTTTCAACTTTATAAGATAATTTGTCACATCGAATTTGTATTTGGTTTTTCGTTTACATTAATAGTAAATAGCTTTTGACATTTGAAAAAAATAGCACTATTTGTATATTTATAAACTATTAATACATGTTTAGTTAGTTTTTGAATGCATTTCCTTACATTTCTTTTGCCATCCTCATCTTCTCTTTTTTTCTCTCTCTCTCTCCCGTTCTATACCTTGCATCACATTAATTGGTTTTTAAATGTCTGGGAACTGTTTCTTTCATTTTTTTTATATGTCTACACACACAGAACATGCACAAGACATAGATATATAATTTTATATAATATTACATATAAATATATCTTTATTTTGGTTTCATGTAAATTTTTAGAAATATAAATTCGAGGTTTTGTATTCTTTGTGTGTGTATGTGCGTATGTGTGTGTCTGTGTGTTTTGTATCTTTAAGTTACAAAAGGCGTTGCTAGTTGTAAGCAAGTCAAATGGCGACAAAAAATGAAATTATATTATTGAATTGAACTTAGACAATATAAAGCTTTCGATCTGAGGCGGCAAATACAATACATATATATATATATATATATATATATATATAATTTTTTTTATAACTCTTCTTTGAAATTAAAACTAATGAGGTATTTAGCTGCACGCAATGACTGAAGTACTAAAAAGCAAATTGACTTTAATGGACAATAATCAAAAACAATTTATGAATTAAATACAAAAATTTAGGTCTGACAGCTAACATAAGAAGAAAAAGACATTGCACAGAACAGAAACGAGTTTTCAATATGAAAACTGCCGCTTGCAATGTCTAGAAATTAAATATGTATATATATATAAAGCACTAAGTGCCAGGCTCTATAGTATACATATAAATCTATAGTAGATATTAATACAATATAATATATATATAAATATTCAATTATATATTATATATATGCTATGCACATTTACTTAGCTTATGAATTGAATGCTTAGCGTTGGGTTTTAGACAGAATGTTTTGTGTTTTATTTTTGTATGTTTTGTTTTTTTTTTTTTTTTTTTTTTTTTTTTAAAGCTTGTTTTTAATTAATAAATATTTACCAAATTAAATAATAATAAATAAATAAGTGTCGTTTCTTGTGGTTTGTGTGAGAGTCTTTAGCAATTGACTTAAAAAGTGTAGCTGTGTTTTTTCTTCAAGTGTATATACATATATATGCATATATACTATATTCATATGTTTAGCTGTTCTTTTGTTAGGTACTCGAAATTGGCTGCTTGATTCCCGTTTTGATATAACATTTAAGCTATTTACTTAATTTGTTAAAAACTGTTTTAAAATTTTGTATTCTTTTTTTTTTTTTTTTGTTTTTGTTTTTGCTTTTTTTTTTGAGACTTGTACACAGTTGTTGCGATCTTTGTATTTTAAGTTGTTATCTAGCTGGATAAATGTTTTACAAGGTACTTATAGCTGATGTCTGCCTTTGCTTTTCACAGTTTGACAAGCACATGCATATTCAATATTTGTGTGAAATTTTTTAGTATTTTCTTTTAGGTTTTTGGCATGAGAAGCTTCTAGCAGAGCATAATATTAATATTTGTGTTTCTTTGTGTTGTTTTTGTTGTTTTTGGCTTAGTGTTGCTAAACTTATGAGCTACGAATACTGTTCTGCGAATCCTTCAGCAAGCAAATCAATGTTTACTAGTTTAGTAGTTACTTAGAGCTAGTTTATCTAGACCTCCGTGGGCATCGACTGCGCGCAGTCCGACTGCAGCTTCCTGGATCCCCGAAAGAACATGTCGAGCAGATTGCGTCTCGACTGGAACTTGGTCGGCGAGCTGGCTATATGAATGTGCTCCACGATCGTGATGCCGCGCTGCAGCTTGGGCCGGGCCTGGCGCTGGGCCGGTGGCGGCGTTGCCTCCAGCGAGGGCACCTCATCCGAGTCCGCGGAGCCCTTGTTGTTGTTGTGGCCGCCGAAATTGATGATGGTGCTGCAGCTGCTGTTCGGGCGAAGCGTCAGCGTCGTATGCACTGGCGTCGCCGTCTGGCACTGGCTGGCCAGCGAGCTCTGCGGCGTCAGATACCTGCAGCTGTTGCTGCTGTACTGCGACAACTTGCTGCTGTTGCGCTGCAACTGGGGTGCACTGGCGGCCGTTGTGCTGTTGCCGTTGGTCTTCATGCTGCTGCTGGGATGACGCTGCAGTGCGCTGGCCGAGTCCAGGCCGAAGAGGCGCTTGACGCCGCGTCGCACGCGCTTGTTGCGGTAGGCGAAGATGAAGGGCGAGCTGAGATTGGCCAGCAGGATCATGAAGATGGCCAGCTGAGTGGAGCCGGTGAAGTTCGCGGCGGAGAGGCGCGACTGCAGCAGCACCAGCAGGCCATAGGGCAGGTAGGAGACCACGAACATGACCACGACCAGGATGCTGATGCGTGCGGCGCGCGACTCCTCCCGATACTTGAACAGGGAGCTGGCGTTGCTCAGACGATGACGCAGCGAGCTCATGTAGCTGAGGGCCTTCGGCGAGGCGTGAATGGCGGGAATTTGCAGCGCATGTCCTCCTCCTGCCGCCTGTTGGCGCGCAGTGCTGAAGTGAGTGTGCTGCTGCTGATGATGCTGCTGTGGCGGCAATGGCTGCTGCTGCTGCTGCTGCAGGTGTTGCTGTAGCTGCGGCTGCTCCTGCTGGCGATGGGCGTGCAGCAGGTGAGGCGAGCTGCACTCCTCGCTCAGCAGATCCTGTGGCAACTCCGTGTACTTGTGCAGATTGGGTGAGCTGTGCACCTGCCGAATGCCCTGCACGCGCTGCAGCTCGCGCAGATCCTGCGACGACGTGCCCAGCAGGGGCAGCTGCCTGGCCGAGTAGTTGCGCTTGATCTCCCCGCTGGCTGTTTGCAGTGTCAGCAGGATGTTCTGGTTGCGATCGGCCAGCGACTGCTCGGGCACGCTCATCAGTGGCATGCCGCCATGGTTACTCTCCACATCCACGTCGGAGCCATCGTCCGAGATCGTGGGCAGCAGCACCTTGGCGGCCGAGTCCCGGCGCAGACAGCTCGGCGAGCTGCGCGGCGCCCGATGATCGATCTGCATCTGGAGGCCACCGGTGACGCCGCCGTGCGAGCTGGCCGAGGATATGGAATGTCTGTGCACACACAGGCTGTTCGTGTAGTTCGCGGCGGGCGCGGCCTGGGCGTGGTTGGTCAGATTGAGAGCGCTCTGCAGCAGCGGCGAGGAGCCGTTCTGCCTCATGCGCAGCCCATTGCCGCGCGCCTCGCTGAAGATGCGCCAGTACATGCCGCAGACAAAGCCGAAGGGCAGCAGGATGATCACGATGAAGTACACACAGGCATAGATTACGCCGAAGATGCTGTTCGTGCTGCTAATCTTGAAGTAGGTGGCAGCCAGGCGACGATGCCTGCTGAGCAGCGTGTCCGCCTCGAAGTCGAGCACACGAAACGCGGACAGCGCACCGAACAGTATGCCCACCGCCCAGGTGAGCGTGATGAACACCCAGGTCTTGACGCCCGAGATGCGACTGTGATAGCGCAGCGGATCGGTCACCGCGCACCAGGTATCGCCGACCACCAGCAGCACCGCCAGGGCGCCCAGTGCGGCGGTCATGTCGATGGACCAGCAACGCAGCTGCACCACTGGCAGCGAGAAGCTGCTGTGCACCGGCACACTCAGATTATCCTCCTGAGTCTCCGTCTCCGTGATGACGATGCCGCCATCTCCACGCTCATCGATGGTCAGCTCGCGGCAATACGTGGCATTGCACTTGTAGATCATCTCTATGGTATCGCCGGAGCTGTCGTTGCTGCTGTTGGTGCTGGTGATGTTGCGGCGCACCACAATGCCGTCCTGCTCCACGAGTTGGCCATGACGGCGAATGGTTAGCTGATGATTGCCCGGCTTCGAGTAGAACTCAATGCTGTCGCCGGCCGCATTGCGGCCAACCAGCTGTTGCTCCTGCCCGGAGAAGCTTTTGATTCCGCTGAGGAACAGAGTCGGTGCCAGAATGCAGCAGCCAATCAGGTTGATGATCAGCAGATTGATGGTGAAGCGATTCGCTGTGGTGCGCAGTCCCGGCGTTATCCAGAATGCGCACAGCGCCAGCAGATTGATGACGAACGAGATGAGCAGCAGGGCCAAGATGAGGAAATCAATGGCCATTTCTTTATGCTACCAACAATTGTTGTTGCTCGTCGATTAGTAACACTTCTGTCTGTTGTTTTACTTTTTCTATTAGCTGTTTTATTTGTTGTTGTTGTTGTTGTTGGTGCTTTTGTATTTGTGGCACGCACATCACTTTACAGTTTGAGAGTCACTTCTTGCATTTTATTTCTGTGCGTTTCTTGTGACTTTTTGAGACACATGCACCAACAAAAATTTCACTTGGTTTACACGTTGCACTCTTCTTCTTCTTCTTCCTCTTTTTTGTTTTCCAATTTATTGTAGCTTGTTTCTTGCAAACGCTTGCTAATTTACGCGCGAAGCTCGTCGTCGATATTGAACAAAAATTTCTAAAAAAAATTTCTTTTTCGTTTTTTCGTACATGCAAATCCAATTTCTTTGGATCTCTGGCGTTTACTTTGATTTTGTATTTTTGTTTAAACAAATTGTAATTTCTTGCTGAATTTGTATATGTTTCTGATTTCGTTTCTTTTTCCGCGCGTTGATCGAGCACGATCTTCACTACGAAGCGTTTCAAGCACAACTGTCGTGTGCGTCGACCGCAACGCCTCAAAATATATATGGGCAGCGAGCGCTCTCAGCTGAGCGCCAGCAACAGTTGCTGCGGTGCTCGGAGCGCTGTGAGAGCAGTGAGCGTGCTGAGCGGCAATTTGCTGTCGCTATTCTCCTTGTGATTGTTGTTGTTGCTGCTGCCGCTGTTGCTGCTGTGATTTGTAGTTCCCACGCTGCCGCTCAATTAATACCGCAGCGACTTTGAATTTATGCTGCCTTCTCTGTTGCTGTTGGTGCTGCTGTTGTTGCTGCTGCTGCAGCTGCAGACTGCATTGCTGCTGTTGCCAGCCGGTATTTATCAGCTCTTAGAGTCTGTCTGCGGCTACTGCTGTTGCTGTTGTCCTAGTTCGTTGCAAGCTCACAAATTGTATAATCTTTTTGCAATTGCAATTGGCGAGCGCTGCTTCACTTTTGCTTCGCTCTCATTACATCATAATCGGCTATTGTTGTTGTTGCTGTTGTTGTTGTAGTTGCTGCTGCCGGCGCTGGCACATTTTCCAAAGCTCATTTTGATTTGGGTTCTGTTCAACATCCAATGCAGTGGGCCACGCTCTATTTTCCGAACCATAACAATTGCATTTTTATTAGGCCCAAGTCAACAGTCGTAGTATTGTTGCTGCTGGCGATGCGGAACAGCTGATGAAATTCTCAGCACAGCAACTGGAAGAGAGAGAGAGAGATGCTATGTGAAATTCGGAGATAAGAGACTCCCTTGCGCTATTTTCATATGAATACAAATAATGAAATACAAAAAATAAATACAAATAAATAAATTAACAATTTACGTTTTCTGTTTTGATTGTGAAATTAAAAATAAATATCAACTGGCTTCGGACCATGACACAGCACATACATGCATACAGAAGTAATTCATAGTTTATATGCTTATGTATGGAGACTCATAATCGTGTGCCTGTGACTCAGTTAGGGAATCAATCTATAGCATTTGCATGAGCCTTTCCAGAACTGAGGCACGCGTTGGCCCTATGCCACATCGAGTGAGTAAATATTCCTTATCGGCTAATTACAACAATGACCAGACATTGATAAGCAATAAGATCTAGCTGTAGGTAAAAGTATTTCAGCACTACATGAATTCACAGAGCTCTATGAAAAGACAATGAATATTGGAAGAAAAAGAAATGGCAAATACATTTTATATGTAAATAATATCTGTTATATTATGCTGGAACTATTTTCATTTATTCGATTATTTTACAAAATACAGAGGAATATTGAAAAGTAAAATAAAAAAATATTGAACAAAAATATTTATATACATATACATTATATTAACATGTATATTTAACATATTTCATAAACAAATATTCCTCTTTTCTATTTAACTGGAACTACGTATTAACAGTTATTCGTAGATATCATTCTAGCTCTGTAATGATCGCATGACTTTAGCTAAGCAGCACTCAAAAACTGCATGTTGCGAAGAAAAAAAACACAGTTAAGTGAATTTACAGTTGTTGGCCAGGTGGGGCTTGCATGTCTTCGGTACTACGCATCAGCTGCTCAACAAAGCAACTTATGACTATCAGCTGATTTCGACATGTCCACTCGAACGACACAACTTTGAACCCACAGCCGCAAGTCGGCGACACGCAGGGCGTATGAGCTCATCCGAGCTGCGTTCTATCGTTCGACCAGTTTCCATACTAAACGATTATATATCCAAATATACATGTATATGTACATGCGGCTGCCTGGGCAAATGTGATCGGAGTCGAGCATCATGGGAGCATTGAACACGCGACCAGCGACTGTGAAATGTAAACAAAAATTATTTCGTTTTACGTCCGGGCTAAAGCGCAGTTTACATGCCCTACTTAAGCCTGAGGCAGAGTGCGTTGAGCAAAGAGACTCGCTCGTGTTGCCAGAAGTTGCAAGTTTGCTGCTCTTCATTTCGCCAACAAACAATATTTGTAAAGAGCAGTTTTGCTAAAAGTATTTATTGAGCTATTGGGCTCGCGGAAGTAGGTCGTGAACAAAAGGCACGGAGCACACAAAGATTTCTTGAAATAACAAAAAAAAAGTCGAAATGTCATTAATAACTTGCACTTTGTTCTCTTTCTGCCTTCCCATAAATGTATAGCATACTATCTGAGTCTCTCTCTCTCTCTCACACACACACTCTCGCTTTAAAACTCTATTCCACTCTCCGACTTTAGTTGTTTCACTTTCTGTCTTGTTTGCGTTTCTCTCCAGCGCTCTATATATCTCTCATCGCACATCTGCTTGATATAGACTGATGAAAATAGATAGATAAGACTTTAAAAGAGGGCCACAAAATATTTAAAGATAACAACTTTTAAGTTATATATCGGCATTGAGAGACCGAAAGATATCATTAGCAAGTTTATTGCCTGATTTAACTCTTTTCAGTTGATATTAAATTCATTAGTTTATGAGTTCAGTAATACCTAGACCCAATACCCTACACCAAGCAATAGAGGAAATTCACCCAAAATATATTCTTTGAGGCTTATCTCCAAGCGTCAGTATCGCTTTGAAGACACGCCCCAATCGATTAGGCACACGAATGGAAACTCGACTCTGAATGCTGTGTCAACAGAGGGCGAGAAAAGGCCAGATCAATGTTATCTATATATACATATAGATGTGCAAATATATATATGTATATACTCGATTTGAATATTATGAAGCACTTAGTCTAGCTCAGCTAAACGCCAATTTAGGGGTGTGAATTTAACGCTCGCTTTGTACACTTTTCAGGCGGCAGCTCAGCTGTTTATGGAGGGCAAATATTGACGCGAAAAGTAAATCAAGGCAAAGACGGACGTACGTACTCATATGCATTAATAAACACATATTGCTCTATCTGCTGCGGGTTTTGCCTGAAATCAAAATTGTTTTTATTATACCCTTTTTGCCGAAAGACGAGCTAAGGTATACTCATAGAATCATAAAATCCCTCGTAGAAAATAAATAAATACACCATACTTCCCTCTAGTAGATCAGATCATGTGCTTGGCTAGGTTGCCTAAAATTAAAATTGGGCTGATAACTAAACAATTCATTTCCTTACCAAAAGAGATATAAATCTATTTTTTCTGACTCATTCGGAATGAACTAAATTTCTATAGTAATTTGAGTATAGAGTATCTAACAATCGTAGACTATTCGCTGTAATTTTCCACTTGTGCTTTTGCTTGTTTCCTAGTGCTTATCAGTGCGTCTAAGCTGATGTGGCTCTACAATATTTTTATTGACAGATAATGCAACGGAACAAAGACAATTTGCACTTGATCAAATATTGTAGAGATTATGAGTGCTGAATGGCATCAGCTTTGATTTTTCATAGCTTGAGGGTGTTGGGGCTTAGGTCAACTAACGCCTGATTTTTACAATTAAATTGAGACTAAGTCTAACCTGCCAAAACACGAATCTAACTGCATAATTTGCATTTAGAATGCGAAGAAAGATCAAGTGAACAAAGGCCAGACTGCGCTTTTGTAATACTCTGTCGACTGAAGCGAAGTGTAGTGCATTTATTTCTTTATTATACATATACATATATATAGCATATATAAATATATATAGATTGCATTTCTGCAGAAACAGCTGTGCTGCCTTTCGATGGCTGCTCTAACACTCGGAACGTGTAAACAAGTCGCTGAGAATGCGCTCATTTGCATGACTTGGCAAGAAAAAGCATTGAGATAAAAACATGTAGCATGAGTAAGCCAATCAGGTGGAGAGCCTCACCCCACCCCAATGCGCCCAGTCTTAGATTGCGCATACGCCACATACGCGGGGTTCACAAAGCTTTAGCCACAAATTATAGCGAGAAGAAAATAAAAAATAAAACAAAGTCGCCATCTGCGTCTGCATGAGCAATCGAAATTTGGTTAAAGAGGCTCGGCTTTATTTTGGTTTGACTTTACTCAGCACGTGATACGCTTAACGAGTCGCTCTAGATGGATGGGGCCAATATGAACCTGTTGCGAACAACGGCTCAGCCTGTGAATCCCAGCACAAAGAATACAAAAAACTATGGCTCACGCAAGGCAAACCTCTGCAACACCAACAACAACAACAACAGCAGCAGCAGCAGCAACAACAACAGCAACAAAATTCAACTGTCAACGTCTAAAGCCGGTTTTGAATTTTTTGCTCTTTTTTAAACATACATACATATGTATCTCTCTCTCTCTCTCACACTCTCAGCGTGTAAAAACGTGACGTCACTTTTGACGTTCATAAGTGGAGTGCAGCCTGATATTTAAATATAAAGTTTTGCACTCACTTTTGGACTGGCTGACAGCGTCGTATCGATCGTCTGTCCCGCTATCGTACAAATGGAGGCACTTAAGACTCATGAGCCCATAAATAAATTTGATATAAATGATGTTTAACCCATATTTGTGGCTGACAATAATATGCCCCGAAAATGGGCGTGAAATTCCTTATATCGTTTTTTTTTTTTTTTTTTTTTTTTTTTTTTTGTTCGCTGCTTTTACCTTTCAATATTTACATACAATGGCCATGCATCCCTACGACAGTCTAAAAATGGGCAGACAACGGACATTAATTTACTCTGGCACATATATGTACATATACTATATGCCCATAAGACCTGACAACAAGTCGTGTTACGTGCCGTGTCCTTGAGCTTGCCGCAATTATGGCAACGCTCACGATGATTTGGCTTTCTGGCCTGGGATTCACCTGGCCGTCGATTGTGATACGATCAGCGCTCTTTTGAGCCATGTTTAAGCTCTTGGAGTAGGCCTTTAATAACTGAAAATGTTGTTGATTCTTTCAAATATTCTGTTCAATTACATTTGAGCACGTGATTTGCATTTGCTGTGATTGAAAGTTGATTGTTGTGTGGGTAAAGTTTGCACTATAATGGAAAAAGTTTTTAGCGCATTAGAGAACCAACGAATGCATATTTATTATTATTGATTATAAAAAAAAAAAATAAAAAATAAAAATAAAAAAAAATGTGTATAAATGTTTTTATAAATATATGTGTGCATGCAATTTTTGTATGAAAAAGTTCTATATAAATGTATATGATATATATATTATTTTTATTTTAATTTTTTTTTTTTTTTTTTTTTTTTTTTTGACTTTTTTAATCCATGTTAAGTTGTAAACGTTAATAAGTTCTTAGTATCCCTCTTTCTCGCTCCCTCTTTCTCTTTCTTACTCACTCTCTGTGTTTCTTGAGTACATGATATTTTCTGATTTTTTATGTAACATATTCGCCAACAATAAAAAAAAATTACTTAATAAAATAAAATAAAATACATTAAATAAAATATATAATATATCAAATAAAATTTATTAAAAAAAAAATAAAATTTTTAGGAATTTAAAAAAATAAATAAATAAAATAATATAAACCAACAAAAAAAATCAATACAAACTGTTTCAAGACTCGCTGCTCAGCTAGCGCAATTATTTCATTTCAATCTACTATGTATTTTATTCATGATTGTATCTATATATATGTATTAGTAATCCTTCGAAAGATTTATAAATGACTCAGCTAAGACTGTGATTGCAATGAGAATTGCTGACCGTCTTAACCTCTTACGTATGCTAGCTTAAGGCATTAGAGGATTACCCGACGAGTACTCCATTGCATAGCTGCATTTTGAACTGCGCATATCATGTGATAAGCCAATTCATAATTTGTTATAGCCCAAGCAAGGTCTGTGCACGGCGCATTTCCTCAGTCGAACGCTAATTCATTCCGCACGTTGCCCTCTTCCGGTGCCAAATAAATATGTTTATAGTCTAAGCCGCTGCTAATTGACAGTGACAGACGGCCACACCTCCCAGTCAGACAGTATGACGAATGCCCAAATACACGTACACCTATATATGTAGCTATATAGGCTCATTAAGGCATTCAGCTATGTTACATCAGTGTCTCGAGTGCTGATAAGATTGCGCTGTGGTCTTTTGCTTAAGCCTGATAAAGAAAATAACGATAATCAAGCCGAACGATAGTCAATCAGAATAAACTAAAAGCACAAGTCCCAATACCATAAACATAAATCCAATTCAATTAACTCAGCGCCTCTGGCGCATCTGTCCAGCTGCTTACACTGTCCGGCAAAAGTTTGCTCCTACTATAGTGCAGTGAATGGCTATGAATGCGAGCTTATATTTAAGTATATATTTATGTGATACGCTCTTTTTATCCGGCTATAATTGAATAAAATGCGGCTTTATCAAAGGCGATGGCAAAAAGACAAATATTGGCACAACTTTTTATCTGGGCTTAGTAACTTTGTCATCGTTGAACGAAACGCAACAAAAAGATTTGTCTGCTAGCAAATGGCTGACTTTCAAATGCCCTACAATCCGGTCAAACAATCAATAATTTGATTTTACAGCAATTAATAAAGTTTTTTTCTAATAGTCTTCATTTTTCGCATGTAAGCTCGATTTTTTTTTTTTTTTTTTTTTTGTTGGTGAAGAGAGATAAATATGTGCCAGGGTAATATCCGTCAATGATCTTTACAGTTATTGCTGTAATCATACGATATTACTAGTAAATTCGAACATATGTTTGCACTAGAAAAAGTGTTTAACTTAACCCCGTTGGCTTCTTACAATGATGTATATTATACATATGCCTCGGATCTTTGACTCTTCATAATGATGTATATTATACATACGGTTGGGAACTTTGACTCTTTATAATGATGTATATTATACATACGCCTCAGCAGTTTGACTTCATATAATGATCAATATTATACATACGGCTTAAGATCGTTGATCTCCACTGTTGCATTAATTTAATGTGCACGTCTAGCTGAGCAACAAATTGTAATTCAAACTCGAAACATGGAAACTTACAACGAACAATATTACACATCAGACTCGGGCACGATTGGGAGGAGTGAGTACTGGTGTATGTATGCCCCATCTTTATAGGTTCTAGTATAAACTTTTCCATTAGCTCGTTAACTCGCCAGCACGACAATAGCCAACAGAAAAAAAAATTATAGTGATAAACAATAACAAACACATTAGCATCGTTGCCAATGAGTTGCTCTTTCTCATTGTAATTGTTGTAGTTGATGTTGTTGTTGTTGTTGTTATTGCTGTTGTCGTCTGCCTGTCATTGATTCACATTCATCGTCTGGCCGAGCGTTAGTGACGTTTTGTTTTTTTTTTTTCTACTTTTTTCTATCGACCAGTGGAAAAATAAAGCTACAAAGTATAACTAACGTAAACACGAATTAAATATGCAACAGCTCAATGAATCGTAAAGGTATTCTAAACTAATTTATCACAGCAATTCTGCAACGGCTTTCCCGCCTGACGAGCGAGGTGCTTGAGCTTTGGACACACCTCGGAGAATTTTCCGTTGTATGATAACGAAATTTGATATACTCAAATTTGCATATGGACAAACAAAAATTTATTGAAATTCACTGGAACTGGCTGTATGGAGGAGCTTAATAACAAATCAATTCAATTGGCAGTGCATGATGTGGGTATATTAATTGGCATAGAATAAATTGGGGAGTTTACTTAAAAAATATGTTATATATAAAATAAATAATAATATTGAGTTATGTATTTACAATCGATATGGGAAATTTGCTCCACCCCACTGTCTACCTCTCTTTCTCTTACCCACATTCTGTCTCCCTCTGTATCTGTCACCCCCTTAAACCTGTTTTAAATTTCCATCGCACTTACTTTGTAATTCCGACATAAACACAATTTTGTCAAATAAACACTTTTTATTGGGTTTGGTTTAATATTAATCTTTATGTCAGCATGTTGAACAAAAATGATCAAAAACAATTTGCCAATTCACTAGACACATTCTCTCGAGACTTTTACCATAAGATGTTTATCCTGTCAGTCGATACAGATCTGATATGTTCCCCCCTTTCGATACAAATCTGCGCTGGAATGTTGCGCATGGGCACCAAAGATGATAGCGAAACCAGCCGTCAGCTGGACGCCGTACTGAAGTTCAGCTCGAACGATGTCAATCAGATAGCTGATGGCTTTCGTAGTGCTCTCCAGTATTACCAGAAGTACAATGTGTTGCGCTTGGCCAATAGAGTGTACGTTATGAATAGTATTCACTTACGTAAGGGATTCTGCGATGCGTTATGTGAAAACTTTTTTTCAACGGCCGAGCGCATCGATTTCAATAATGGCCAGAAATCGGCTGCCACTATCAATGCCTGGGTTGAGTCCGAGACGAATAATCTCTTGAAGAACCTGGTTAGCCCGGACTCTTTCAGCTCAGATACTCGTCTTGTAATGATCAATGTGATCTACTTCAAGGGCGAATGGGATATTCAATTTGATGAGAAACACACACAGAGCGACTATTTCTTTGTGGATGACAAAAATGAGATTCAAGTTTCCATGATGAACTCGTTCAACAAATACTTTTTTGCGGATCTCTCAGACTTAGATGCCACAGCCTTGCGGATGGCCTATAAGGATACAAAGCTGTTCATGTTGATCATATTGCCCAACAAAATAGATGGCTTAGTGGCACTAGAGAAAAAATTGAAGTCAACCACCCTGGAGAGTATAATATCCCAGTTGCAACAACTGGACGTATTTGTCAAACTGCCAAAATTTAAAACAGAGTTCAGTGTGGAACTTTCACCTGTCTTCAGATCCCTGGGTGTGGATACAATATTTAGAAACCCAGAATTCGACAAAATGCTCGAAATGAAACAGCCGCTGAGAGTATCCCAGATTTTGCATATGGCAGTCATTGAGGTCAATGAAGAGGGCACCGAAGCTGCAGCTGCGACTTCAATGATGATGGTGGATATGGTGGCTACGCCAGTATGGCCGGAGCAAAGAACATTTTATGCCGACCATCCATTTTACTATATTATTTATGATGAAGTCTATGGTTGTCTTTTCATGGGAAATCTGAAGCAAAAAGGTTTGAATTTAATAAATACTCGAAAGCTTTGCGAGCGCTGTAAGGGAGCTTGTCCAAAATTTCTTGCAAAAAGATTCATTCGCTAACAAAATATGAAGTAAATATGCTAAAACTCTTCAAACTATTCCAATGCTCTTCTGCGCCAGGGTATGCTCGTAGCAAAAGAGATGAAAGCCGAAAAAAAATTCTAGGTCAAACATGATTCCATCTCATTCACTTTGTAATATCAAAAAGGCTGAAAAAATCTCAAACTGTCAAAATTCAATTTTTATTTTGGTTTTTTTTAGGTAAGCATGGCAGAAGATGGTAAAGAACAATTTACGAATTCGTTAGATATATTCTCTCGTGATTTATATGATAAGCTAGTGAGCGTATCAGCCGATAAGGATCTAATATGTTCTCCTCTTTCGATTCAAATCTGCGGTGGAATGTTGCGCATGGCCGCCAAAGATGATAGCGAAACCAGCCGTCAGCTGGACGCCGGACTGAAGTTCAGCTCGACCGATGTCAGTCATATAGCTGATGGCTTTCATAGCGCTCTCCAGTATTACCAGAAGTACAGTGTGTTGCGCATGGCCAACAAGGTGTACATTATGGATAATGTTCACTTACGCCATGACTTCAGCGATGCGCTGACTCAGAAGTTTCTCTCAGCTCCCGAGTCTATCAATTTTCGAAATGCCCAGAAATCGGCTGCCACTATCAATGCCTGGGTGGAGTCTCAGACGAATAATCTCTTGAAGGACCTGGTTAGCCCAGATTCTCTCAGCTCAGATACACGTCTTGTGCTGATCAACGCGGTGTATTTCAAGGGTGCTTGGAATACTAAATTCAATGAAAAGCAAACTCGTAACGAAGATTTCTTTGTGGATGACAAAAATAAGATTCAAGTATCTATGATGAACGCAACACACGATTACTTCTATGGCGAACTCCCTAATTTGGATGCCAAAGCCTTGCGGATGTCCTATAAAGATACTGAATTGTTCATGTTGGTCCTTCTGCCCAACAGAAAAGACGGCCTAGCGGATCTGGAGAATGGTCTAAAATCAACAACCCTTGAGAGCATCACATCTGTACTATTCCACACCAAAGTATCTGTCAAATTGCCCAAATTCAAAACTGAATTCAGTATGGAATTGACACCTGTCTTCCAAGCCATGGGCATGGATATAATATTTAACAATCCGGAATTCGATAAAATGCTCGAGAAGATAGAGCCTCTGAAAGTATCCCAAATTGTGCACAAGGCATTCATTGAGGTTAACGAAGAGGGTACCGAAGCTGCTGCTGCAACTGCTGTGATAGTAATGATGAGAAGCGCATCCATTGAGACGCGATCTGAAACATTTCATGCCGATCATCCATTTTGCTATATTATCTATGACCAAGACTACGGTTGTCTTTTCATGGGAAATCTGAAATATAAAGATCCGAACTCAAATACTTTGGAGCTATGTACGCCCTGTAATTCAGCCTGCCCAAGATTACATGCAAATAAATGAAATATTATAGGGCTTCGAAAATAATAAAGCTAACGGAATGTTAATAACTATAACTATTATTGCATTGTTGTTACGTTTATAATGGGAAAATCAGTTCAAATTGACTTCAATACAGAATAATAGTTGTCTGCTCATATAAATATGTCAAACTCAGGTGATTAATGCTATGCTGTCATCGCTGTGTCTCGCCGTTCGATCACGTGCTCATCTCCAATTCGAAATACCGAATGGGCAGTAGCGTGTGCTTAATCTGATATTGCGGTAGTTAAGGCATTAGAAGAAACGCACACATTTTCTGCCATTTATGTGGATTCAGTTACTTTTCCGCTAATGAGATCGACAGAATGACTTGCTCCACTTGAAAGAGATAAACATTGCAGCTGAGACAATTACGCAGCGTAGCAGATAAAAACGCTTGAGCAGTTGCAAAATCTGACGACTAAAACAAAAAATATTTGACTGAGATATGGAACATATGTATATATACTTGTATGTAGTCTGCTCATGGCAGTCCAGTGGTCAGCGGGAAAGAAACTAGTGAATGACTCAGGCTACAATAATCATGAGTATTTACATAGCTCCACTCCACAAACAGATCATATCAATCGGAGATATGCTTACTGTGTAAAAAGTACGCAAATCGGGGAACTTTTTATGGCACAAGCGAGCGCATATCAAGTTGAGTTAGAAAAGTAACAGAAAAATCAATGCAGTTATTATTCTATAAAATGCATTTATTATTCATATAGCTATTTTCATAATATTTAATTATATAACCAGCTAATTATGAATTGCAGACCAATTAGCAATGCCAACCGCCCGTCTATTTATGCATTCATTAACACCGCCGAGCTCATTTGTGTATTCTAATTGTAATTACAGCTTACACTAACTAACGCATTGTGACTCTCCGTTGTGTAATATGAAACGGCTGTCAATTGACCCAATTGCATTGACCTTGACATCTGCCAACGGTTTGCAAGCCAATGAAACAGTTGCCCAATCAATTTACCGACCCTCAAGCATTATAATTAACCAATTACAACTTGAACTCTCACCTCAACCTAGGCGGCACCGCCCAACAGGTGCAAGCAGCACTTGAAAATTACTGAAATGTGCGAAAGCCACAGCTGCCAATAACAATACGCCCATCAACAGTTTAGGGCTAACCAAAGGCCAATAGCTAATGGCAGCAATCGGGTCATATATCCGAGCCATCGATTAGGGTTTAGTGCAATTTATGATGACAACCTGTGGGTGATGGGTATTGAGTGGCGAAAGGTGAACGGCGAGTGCTGTGACACCTGTGCGCCCATAGACGACAGCCTGTCAAAGCTCTCTAATTACATTATCTATATCTCATTAGCAGCCCTTCCAGTGTGGTGTCGCTTGTGGCGGCGCTGCGTTATGTGGATCGTCTCGAATTTATGCAAAAACTGCACAACGAACGAGTTCACTGCACTTGGAGCTGGGGCAGACGATGTCTGATTCTGGCTACCAGCATCAAATTACCCCAAAAGAGTGAAGAAAAAAAGACAAAAGACTGTGCAGTACTAGAAAATACTCAGTATATAAATATAGTCCAATATAGTTCAACTGGATTATGACACGCTATTATAAATAGCTCATAAAATACTGCAGACCAGCAAACTTGAAGCAGATCCAAATTTAAATGCGCTTCTAGAATGCCTTTATTATGTTGCTCTAGCATATATGCTGCAAAGTATAAGTATAATAAAAATGCAAATAAAAGAGGAAAATATCACGACAGCTCGCCACTGGCCACGCTGAGGTCAAAGTGTTTGACACATGTGAGTGGCCATAGACAATAGAGATGCCTGCGGCACACACAGTTCGCGGTCGACAGCTCATGCTCATGCACATGCTGGAATATTATTTCACATAAAAATGTTAGCAGGACAACTCAGACACAAACGCGAACAAAAAGAGACTTGATAGAGAGCAGCAGTCGATGGCTTCATTTGAGCTTGAGTCTGGACAGTTGTCACATCACATGCTTAAGGCCAATGGCTTGGCCACTTCTGATGCCTGTGGACTTGTCCCCGTTTCTGCCCAGTTTTTCACTTTAGCAACAAGGTCAGCGACTCCTACGCCATTCAATTGAAAATTGTGTTCTGCTCTGCTCTGCTCTGCTCTGTTCTGCTCTGCTCTGGTCTGTTCGGTTTTGTTCTGTTCTGTTTCCGTTTCTGTGTGTGTTTACTAGGCAATTCAGAAATGAAAACAGAAATGCATTTATTTATAGCTGGACAACACGCCATGCAAGCAAACTGACCTACATTCAGTTCCGTGTCGCATCGTCTGTCTCTCTATAGAATCCGTTGAAATATTAGTCGTCATATTTAGATATATAGTAATATGTGTATAAACAACGTTTATGACCTTACAGCCAAGAACTAGTGAAATACCGTGCGTCTGATTTATGCTAATTGACAAGTTTACACAGCACAGAACACATTTCCAAAGTCATATTTCACTAATGTGCCTAAATTGAAAAGTTATTGAACATTAATTAGAAATGCCAATATCAAACTGACTGACAACTGGCCTTCTCCAATCGACGGCTCACCTTAGATGGGCAAAGTTCGCAGCCCAGCCACGTGGCCAGCAGTGAGTGAGTCGTTAAGGTAGTCAAATGGTCATATAGCACAAAATTCTTGCAAATTCTTTACATTTGATTGATGTGCTTGAGCTTTGGGCGCACATAGGAATATTATCAGCATTCTGATAGCGAAACTCGAAGTACTCATATTTGCATATGGAGAAACAATGAGTCACAATTATTGGAATTCGCAAATCCAAATCATCTCGTGAGGCCTAAAAACGGATCAATTAAATTGGGCACATTAAATTTATTAAGTACAAATAATTTGCAATGTGTAGAAATTTTAGAGTATATGAAACTGATGTGATATAATTTTAAGTAAACTAAATACACTTAATACATAATATAATTGTTTTACAGTAGAGTTCTATAATTATTTAGCTAACATGTTATTATCTACATTTATTTATCATATGCTGGTTCTCAAGTTAAGCTCTTATATGTCTTCTTGGCTTCCATATCTCTCTCTCTTTAACGTGCATCATAATTCCATCTCATTCACATTGTAATATAATATTATCTAAAAATATCAAAAACTGTCAAAACTGAATTTGTTTGTGTTTCTTTATATTTTAGATACGCATGGCAGAAAAAGATGTTAGCACGGAATTTACGAATTCGTTAGATACATTCTCTCGGGATTTATATGATAAGCTAGTGGGCGTATCAGCCGATAAGGATCTAATATGTTCTCCTCTTTCGATTCAAATCTGCGCTGGAATGTTGCGCATGGGCGCCAAAGATGATAGCGAAACCAGCCGTCAGCTGGACGCCGGACTGAAGTTCAGCTCGACCGATGTCAGTCATATAGCTGATGGCTTTCATAGCGCTCTCCAGTATTACCAGAAGTACAGTGTGTTGCGCATGGCCAACAAGGTGTACATTATGGATAATATTCACTTACGCCATGACTTCAGCGATGCGCTGACTCAGAAGTTTCTCTCAGCTCCCGAGTCTATCAATTTTCGAAATGCCCAGAAATCGGCTGCCACTATCAATGCCTGGGTGGAGTCTCAGACGAATAATCTCTTGAAGGACCTGGTTAGCCCAGATTCTCTCAGCTCAGATACACGTCTTGTGCTGATCAACGCGGTGTATTTCAAGGGTGCTTGGAATACTAAATTCAATGAAAAGCAAACTCGTAACGAAGATTTCTTTGTGGATGACAAAAATAAGATTCAAGTATCTATGATGAACGCAACACACGATTACTTCTATGGCGAACTCCCTAATTTGGATGCCAAAGCCTTGCGGATGTCCTATAAAGATACTGAATTGTTCATGTTGGTCCTTCTGCCCAACAGAAAAGACGGCCTAGCGGATCTGGAGAATGGTCTAAAATCAACAACCCTTGAGAGCATCACATCTGTACTATTCCACACCAAAGTATCTGTCAAATTGCCCAAATTCAAAACTGAATTCAGTATGGAATTGACACCTGTCTTCCAAGCCATGGGCATGGATATAATATTTAACAATCCGGAATTCGATAAAATGCTCGAGAAGATAGAGCCTCTGAAAGTATCCCAAATTGTGCACAAGGCATTCATTGAGGTTAACGAAGAGGGTACCGAAGCTGCTGCTGCAACTGCTATGCTAGTTTATTTTGAAATGATGACACCTACCGAGGATGAGCCCAAAATTTTTCACGCTGATCATCCATTTTGCTATATTATCTGTGACAAAGTCTACGGTTGTCTTTTCATGGGCAATTTTAAACAGAGAGATCCGAGCTCAATAAAAACACCAGAGCTATGCACACCCTGTAAATCAGAATGTCCAAGATTACATGCAAAAAAATGAACTATATAGGCACATTGTTCAAAGGAAATAAGCAAAAGACAGTTTATTTAATTTTTAATATACCTACCGAAGTTTAACCGATTGTAAACACAGCCTAAATAAAAAATAATTAAAATCTTCTTAATAATTGAAAATTGATTTTAAAACTACAAAAATAAAGTATGTATTTATACATATATTACGAGACTCTGAAACTAAAGGAGTTATCTGCATGTTATCTGTAATCTTAAATGGACAAAAGATGTCTTGTCAAGTATCTTGACAATTTCGCTTTCAATAACAAGATCATTTATCTCGGCGACCACACCCAGGCCTGGGTTACTTTATTAGCTGGTTAATTTCCATTGCAAACCTTAAGAAATCTAATCTGAAGACAACCCACATATCACTTATAGCAGCTAGAGAATCGGAGGAATGCACGCGGCTGTTGACTGAAAATGATAATGGGGCCGATCGAGGCGCCCAGAATGACAGTCAAATTACTTTCGAGTAGCGCGATATGATAAATTCTTCGTTTTGATAAATTATTTTGTGATATTTACATTACAGCGGACGACGATACAAATCAACGCTCAGCCCTGCCCCTTATCAGCAGACCTTATCAGAAGTCCGTGAGTACTTAACCGTATGATATTCAACTACTCTGGGCAAATATTTGCATTTGTTACGGCTTAGTCAGCTACCAGTCTTGGTAACAGCAGGGCTGTAGCCTTCAGCCAGCCCATTCGCTGGCCCAAATGTCGGCCAAACTATCTAAGTATTTAGAACACGCCCCTCGGCGCTAATAAAAAAAATAAATAAAAGCATGAAATTTAGACCAAACAAACCGGAAATTTGGCTAGAAATTATTTCATTTCTAATTAATTGCTCCAACGGGAATTTAAATACGGAATAACACAGCCAACCCAATACTAATATTTTCTATACTATTTTTTTCATAGTGTAAAGGATATTGGGAATGTTTTTGAATATAATTTCTACTAAATTAAAGTCAATTCAACAAATTTCTCAATTAATTTGATGTGTTAAGATGACTGATATATTTTGAATAGAGTTGCATATTTTGATATATTTAATTAAATTAATATAATTCAATATAAGGGCACGAAAATGTCTTTGGTTTAGGCTTAATGTCTTGAGCTTCACAAGCTCAGCCTGTAGCTGACTTTTAATTAATGACTACTTTGACTTTGTATGCTGCCAGCTAAGCCCAATAAGCTGTTCCATTTTACTGGCCCAAATAATGAATGTGGCTATAAGTAAACGCGCAGTATCTGGCGGTCACAGCTGGCAAATGCGCGGCCTTTCATGCTGCCCTTTTATATTTAACTAACTTAGTTATTGTTGCTTTCAGGTAAACGGGGCAGACAGGCAGTTAAACAATTTAAGCAGCCCTCTGAAACAATTTAACAAAAATAAAATAAAATAAAAAATACCACTTGCTGTTATTTATAATTTACAGCTGGTTAAATGATGTGTGTGAACTGCAGTTGCTGTGACCTCTTGGAGGTTGATGTCGTTATTAATAACCACAGTGGAACAAGAAACAAAAATTAAATTTAATAATAAAAAAAAGATGCCATGCTGAAGGCCATCAAGCGACATAAATCTCCACGGAAAAAATTGTGCACAAAATAAAAAAAAAAAAGGTTTAAAGTCAGCTGAATGGGCTTGACACTGCGCTATATAATCAGAGGTAGACACGGATCGATTATAAATAATACACTCGATACTGTCTGGGAATTTATTTACATATGCATGAGTCTGTAAACTGTTTGCAATATGATTAAGTATTTATTTCTTTAGACAACTGTATAAAACCTCATATTCATCTCAATTTAAATATTCATAGATTTATAAAAAATTTCATAATTGAAATTATCAGCTGTGGTTTCGCCTCAAAAGCCATCCGCAACCACAGACAATGCCCAACTAACTGTTTAAACTAACTGAACCATATTTAAAAAAAATTAAAAAAAAAAAAAGACTTGTAGGTCGTTACAAAGTTCAACTTTTTGCGGTTTATAGCATTGCTATAAGCACTTGTTCTTTTGTTTGTTTATTTGCTGTTGTTGTTAATGACATGACGAGGTCTCTTTCCATGCATGGAACGCCTGACTATTTTGCACTTGGCTCTATATAATTATTTCCCTTGACGGTCCAAGAAAATCGTTCAAGCAAAAACGTTTCAATTATTTGCATTTACGACAAATCGAGCGGGTACATTTAAAACTACTCAAGATGAAAGTCAAATATGCTATAAATAAACGGGATTCTTAGAACTATCTAGAACAACTCATTCATAATAATAATATTTCTATGACAAAAACTGTGTGTGTAAGACCCAATAGCTAAATAGCTTTCTTTATCTATGGAAGAAGACGAGCTGTCGCGAGCCAAGAGCTTAAAAAAAGGTGTGCAATGTAATTAAAGATTTATTTTATTGTTTTCATAAAAGTTTTCCATTATTTACTCAGAGTTGCGTTAGCTTTAAAGTAACCAAGTAATGCTGTACTTGATATAAAAATGAATGTAATCAATGAATTTCAGAAATTTCTCCTTGACTTTAACCATTGCAAAACAGATAACATTCCCAAAAATTTCCTACGCTCGATAATTGTAATTAAATTACTTTTGGCCAAGTTAAATACAAATATTCTAATTGCCTTGCTACAGAGTACAGCTAAATGTTTAATTCTCTTGGCAGGCGATTTGCTTATACTTTAATGGCTGTTGCTGTTGCTGTTGTGAGTTTTGTGACGTCTCAATAGGGCGTGTAATCGAAAACGTATTCGTAATTGTGGCCATAATTGAATTGTTTTCTCAAACTCTGAATGCGGGTTCATTGCACTGGATTCTATGCCGAAAAGCGTGTTAGTCAGAGCTTTGAATTACCCGACAGCCAGCTATAATAATTGCCTTTGCGGTCATAAATGCAATCGTGTGGAAAATTGCAGCGTTGCAAAAAGCCAAGTCACAAAATAAAAACAAAAACAAATAGAAAATATGAAATACAACAACATGCATTTGAAATCACAATAGAAACTGTTCCTTGGACTTTTATGAATCGAAGTGGCTGACAAATTACTCGATCAGCATTTACACTTTGATCAGTTGACGTAGAGTTTCTAGAAAAATCATCGAGAAATTGGACCGTCTCAACCAATACCGAAATGCATATTCAGTGAGCTGCAATTACTGTAATTAAGATCTAATGGTCTCTGCCGGATATGGAAGGCGGGCAGTGAGAGTATTAACAGAGATTAACCCTCATTAGCTATACCTAATAACCGGTTATCTCGCGATTGTCTAGCAGTTGTTGGCAAAGTACTTGCTCAGCTGAGAGCTAAACTAAACAAGGCAACTGCGGTTTATAAATCAATGAGCTAAGCTGAGCGAAAGAGATGGATGGGGTGGGGAGAATGCAGTAAATCAACGCCCATTTGAATTACAAAAATTAAAATTAAATATACAAATAAAAATAAAAGACCTACTGTAAATATATTCCGGTTGCAGATAACATAGTATATCCAGAACTTATCTCTAACGTACCTTGAATAGTTCACTGGCTTTTCTCAAATCATATTCCATTACAGCACCAGCCAGTGCTTATTAAATTCCTAATCAAAAAGTTAATATTATGAAAATACTTATCATTTTCATGTCCATGTTAATTTTTAATGAGTCTTACATTGCAAGAAGCACACAGCAGCAATCCTCAAAATTACTTCTAACTGCGACATTCACTTCAAATGGTACGTGCCAGACCAAAAGACAATGGAATTTACATATTAAGACCCGGCTGGGCACTCGAATTTAAGCAAAACAAATATGTAATGTTGTGTTAACAATTTCGAGGAGCTTATAAGGTAAAGACTTTCCATTAGAATGTAGACTGAGTCGCTTAACTATATTACAAGCTCGCAGAATTTACCAAAATAAAATTAAATAAAATATGGAATGGTTCTACTCTTACGGCTATGGGAATTCTTTTATAATATTCTACAGACACTATATCATCAATTATATATATGAAATATTAAAAGCGTATAACCTATTCGGTTATATTTATTAATTTCATATACAAGAATGCCATTTAACACAAATTTCATAAATTGTGCAATTCCTCGCAAACGATTTTATATATACATATATATATGTATATATTCGCATAATTCTCTTTTTTTCGCCATATCAAATTGCTTTTCATTTCTGTGAAATGGAAGAAAAATACAAACAACAAATAATAAGATAAAAAATTCGAATACAAGTGTTTACATTGTGTGTACATGAAATACAATTGAAATATGCAAAACAACAAAATAAATGGCTTTGGCTTGGGCTTGGGCTTGGGCGGTGCGATAAAGTTAACACCTTTAAGCCAACAAGGGACTCAGCATAAAAGAAATGAAGAAATGAAATAAAATACAAGAACAACGACAAGCGACAGGCGACAATTTCGCAAACACGAGTTCCGTCAGTCAAATGACACTTGGACACGAGGTCCAATTGGAGCTGGGCGCAAATTTGAAAATCGATATGACATGAAGGAAAACAAGGGCAATCCGTCCGGCAAGCGTCAACGTCAACGCCGACGGCCGATGTCGTATGTTGAATGTCGAACGGCCAACAACCGCAAGGCATTCTAGCATCTAGCCAAGCGGAGGAGGCAGAACTGCAGCCGTGTCGAACAGTGATGTACGGCTAACTTTGACTTTTTGGCGAGCACGTTGGGCGACAACATCAACAATAATGACACAAAAATGTAAGTAATTGCCGAACCTTTGACAAACAAGCAGCAGTCAAGACAGGCGTCAAGGGTTACAGGCCATCCGGCAGTCACTCTCACGCTCTCGGGCCCAGTCGCTGGCTGATAACGTCACGAAAGGCCCACGAGCTGTGGCAAAAGTTGATAGCAACACGGGAATGAAGAAAAACCGCAAATGGCAAAAAACGTGAGCAACTTTTTTATATTTTATTTATTTTGTTGTTTTTTGTTTCTTTCTTTCTTCCACTGCCTTCATTTTCAGTTGGCTTGCGGCCAAACAAAAACAAATGTGCGGCGGAACATTTTTCTTTCCATATGCTTCTTCGTTTTATTTTGTTCTAGCATGAAATTTACTTTTCTAATGAATGAACGAGTACAAGTGCGTGTCTCTCTGCAAGTGTGTGTGTGTGAGTGCTCACCTGTCTGTGAATGAATACTGTGTGCGGGCAAATATGTATTGCTGTCGCACAGCGTGTCTTAATGCCAGGCTGGATGAAACAGTCGCACACGCGGCGTATGCGTAATGCGAACGATTTCGTATACACTGCATGTTTATTTTTATAGAATAAAATTGTAATGGAATGGTTCTAACTTTAAACACGGCAATAACCAACGTGACGTCTATCTCATAAAGTATTGGATGAGCTCACGTTAGAGCACTGATATTTACATTTACATTTTACACATCAATTTGAAGGCTGAGAACAATTTACAAAAAAAAAATAATAATAATAAAATAAAATACCAAAAATATTATCTATTGAAAAATAACATTTTCCACAACTTTTTACATCACATATGCAGTATTTTAGACTTTCTGAAAATATTTGTTGATTTCTTGGAATACCAACAACATAATTTTCAATGAATTTCAATATTTTTATTCACAAATCTTTTATATTCAGCATTGCCGCCCTGCCACTAATTGATGACCCAGTTCTATGCTTCTATAGTATACCTATATATATATTATATTTTTTGATGGAATAGTTTAGTCAGTCGTAACCTAAATACACACAACATTTATTGCTCATAACTTTATAAATATATTCATTTTTTGTTGCTTTCGCCACATAGTTAATGTTTGTTTATCCAACGAACCCATAACTGTCGCGCATGATTAGCAATTTCCAACGAGCTGACACTTAGCTGACGCATGAATTTTAATGTTGGGCATTAGACAAGATTTCTAGCGAGCTCTGCTCACTGTGCTTCACCCTATTGGAAGTGAACAAAGTGTTTGCACAGCTGTGGGACGAGTCTCATGTATACATATATGTATTGTGTTTGCTTTTGATTAAAATGCAATTAAGATGCAACAATATTTAATATGATATTTTGGCGCAGCTGGCTGTACGATTTTTTGCCAATTTTGTGGTTCAGTTAAGTGGCCAAGATTTATGTGCATAGCTGGCCATCAAAATGTTTACATATATATTGATATAAAAATAAACAATTTAACGCTTAAGCAGAACAAAAGCAAATCTAGCAAGAAGTGCTAAACATCATATACTGCATATAACTTATGGCTGTCTGTGTGGGTGTTTGTGTGCTTGAGTGTGCTTCACATACTTAGCTACTCACGCCCAGCCAGTCAAGCGGACATGGATGCGGTTGCTGTTGTTGCAAAGTTCTCTTCTGTTTGCGTCCGTTTTTGAAGTGGCTTCAGTTTATGGCACCTCATGGCTGCTGCATTAATATATCATCATAAAATAAGTGAGAGTAATCCAATCAGGATCACTTGACTTGCAACTACCCCGCAATCAGCTCAGCTTTGCATGAATAAGTGTTTGATACACATAATACGAGTTAAAGATAAAAGTAAGTTAGGAAAATTGAAAATAGATTATATTTATATATCAAAGTAATTTCTAATTTTGTTTATATTTCTTTATATAAAAAAGTACAGTAAATATTTTTATGTGCGAATTCATGTCACCCCTTTGAATATTTTATGCCTACAGGGTATATGAAATGTCACTAGAAATATGAGATATAAACGCAAAAATGCGGCAACAGCTGAGGGGAATTTGTTGCTAACTGAGTTGCACTCCATAAAATGTGCAAGTCGAGCGAAAAATCCCATTAGACATTTAATGTTTATAAAGTAATAAAATAAAATAAAACATTAAGTGCATAATTTTTAAATAAACCATAATGACAATGCAATAAATAATGAACTGATAATAACAACTTATAGAAGACTAAATATTATGTGATGACCTCATTGAAAACCCGTAACAGGAAGTTGAGCTAGTTAACAATATGAAATATAAGTTACCTTTATCAGTGGGCAGCTCTTGTTGACACACTCGGCCCACAATTTAATCAAGAACTGCCAAGAGCCAGCCGGCCCTTAGCTAATTATTTTTTGAAAATTTTGCAGCTTGGTGAAAGTGGCAGCCTGAACAGTTTCCATAAGGCTCTCAATTATCGAGCAGACGAGACGTACTTAGAAAATTGCCTTCCACAGCTACTTGATGCGAGGGGCGCCATCAGAATAGTAGATATTGATTATAAAAGCGCAATTCCATTATCACTTATGAAAGCTTTTCAACAGTACCGTTAGAGTACGTACAGATTCGGTGAACACTTCCCCAACACTCCAAGCCAAGTGCACTAAACTTAAGTTTAACTTTGCCTTAATACGTAGTTCCTTAAGCTCTTGTCCGGCAAAAACCCCTCTCGCCAGCCGGAAAACTTGAGCGAAAACAGACAGATGGACAAACTAGACGAACTACAAGAATAGGCAGATTGTTGAGCTGTTTCAGCGTGGAGAGCACTTAGAAGTCAAAGCTAAACACACACTCGGCCGTATAGTAAATACGAGGGAATTGTCTACCCCCCAGCAACAGCCTAAGAATGAGGACAATAAATAAGCTGAAGTGCCATTTGGAGAGGCCAACAAGAATAAATATAAATACAAATGTATATGTATGCCTGTATATACATATAATAATAGAAAAAAATATGTGTTCGCATGAAATGCGGAGCGTAAACTCAGCCATGTCCATCAATCATCCAAATATTTACGAGTGCCTGGCTCAAGGCTGAGCTCAACTTGATTGTTACATAAATTTGCTAATCAAGAGTTGCAATTTCGATTGCCAAAACTCATTTCATTTGTAATGCCAGGCAGCTACAAAGCGCACACACAAAAACAAAACAATGTACTAAGATATTTTCAATATACAACTCTTGGAATGGCTGACAGCCGGATTTCATGAATTTTTTTGTTGGCCAAAGCCTCGATGTGTTTATGCACACGTGCCCGATTGGCCTCCTTACTGGGAGTGTGTGTGTGTGTGTGTGTGTGAATGGCTGTGCACGTGCCAATAGAATAACTATTATTTATGGTAAATACACACGCACACACAAACATATACACAAATATGTATATAAATAGGCTCTAGCAAAAATCTGATTGAAATGTTCGCTATGATACGAAAACTAAAGAAAAGTTTTGCAAGCCAAATGCCAAAACTCTGATACGCTTAATACAAAGTTTTGATATTTCTTTATTATGCGGAAATTTTCATTAAAGCAATTGCTAGAGATAAAAATGTATAAAGAATGGGTATCAGAGAAAGAATGTTAAGCATTGAAGAACCTACTAAGCACAACAATGGCACTTAAAATGCAGAACGGGGAACTTTTTCTTGTAAATAACTATTGTAAAATATATATTCAGAAATTTATTTGAGGGCCGTAATAATAGTTATCCACTGAAACTCAAGCAGAGTTATTTTTAAGACCCTAACATGCCCATATTTCAATAGAAAATTTCCATAAATTAGTCAGCAATAATCGTAGTTATTTATGGCAAGTTCAAATGCAGCTCATATATTTACGGGTCTCTAATGAGTGACGATATGGCCATAGTTAGCTGAAAATGCGAATTGATTGCCTTGAATTACCTGAAATTATTCCTTTTCCTTGCCAGTCCACAGGCTTTGCCAGTTAGCAGGTGCGACGGGAAAACTGCAAGTAGAAGTCGGAAAACAACATTTCAATATCAAACGTAAGAACATAGAAAATATTCAGCATAAGAAATGGCAAGCGGCTTCTGATGTTATTTTTCTGCTTCTGCTTTTTCTTCTGCTTCTTCTTCTGCTTCTGCTGCTGATAGTTTTTGCCGGCTTATAAGCAAATTGTGTTTGGCTTGAAATTGTCTCGAAGATTCAAATAAATATAAAATAAAATGTCACGGGTAGTCATGGACAATAGAGTTATTTATATACACGCTATATAGGCTATATAGCTCCGTCAATAGAATGGCAAATAAATTGTTTACTAGGCCCGCCTAAGTCAGGCCACTTGTTTATGACAAAGCTCATAAATAACAAAAAAGAACTGCTGCGGCTTTGTAGTCAAGTGGGTCATCATTTAACTCAGTGCATCAAGCTGCGCCACTGCCAAAGCCAAACGCACGCACTTCACAATCCCGACCCCCAAACGCTGATGACAGGGTATCTGACCCATTGTCCCGTTGCTGCTCTCAAGATTGTATGCCCAACCAACAATAGTGTCAATATAAATCATTATATATATACATATACATCAATATCAGTTTCGTTCGCCAGAGAAAAGGGTTCGCACTTGGCCCTTTGAAGAAGGCTTGAGCACTAAATGCTGCTCAAGACATCAACTGCAGACGCCTATGAAGAGTGTTTGCCAACACCTTATGCTAATTAATTAGTAAAGAATCTCAAGTTTAGAAGAGATAATAACTGTAAGTGTCAACATATGCCATTTTATTCAATTAATTAAAAATATATATTGATTATCAAATATTTATAGTATATGAATAAAATATGTTTTCTATTTTATTGCTTTCAAATAAAATAAATGCCAATATATATGTAATAAATATTATAATAAAATTTATATTAAAGTCAAAATGAGATAACAGTATTTTCATAATTTATTCAACTTTTGCGAAATAATACAAATTCTCTTCAGTTATTGAAAAAAAAACTCTGAATTCCATTCATATCCATTTGCCGTTTCCCTTGTGCCCAAGCCCATTGCGTGCAATAAAATATGAAATAAATCCATATAAATAAATAACAAGAAAATGTTCACAGTTCATAAAATACAATATATATGTATTTTTATTATTTCTGCGCATTAGCATATCAAACGAATACTAATGTAAAGCTACCCTGTGCATGGGATTAAGGGGTTTGATGCACCAGTGCCACTGACCAAGGTCACATTAAATCGAATTTCCACGGCACAGCCGTGGCTTTCCATTAGGTTCAGATTTATTGAGCTCAGACCTTGTCACAGAATTAAATAATAATGCATTGGAGTTTCTGCTCTCTGCTCGACTCGTGATTGACTTGAGGTAATAAGTCGATACGACTAAGTACGAAGTGCCACAGGCTAACGCAACAGCTAACAAAGAAGAGAGCTTTTTGAATACACGTTAAGTCGATTTATATGCCGAGCATTAGCGATATTTCAGTTGCCCTTTTCTTGACAGCCAAGTGTGGGCACTGAAGGGCAGCACTTTGTGAATGAAAGACTTGCTGACTGTCTGACTGACTGTTTGGCTGTCTGTTCGGCTGACTGTCTGCATCAACAGAAATCAATTGAAGCAAAGCGACGTCAGCGACAGTCAAAGTTCAAAAGTGCCACTCAACGTTCTGGTGGCATCTGTCCTTCCCTACCCATGCCTCTCCCTGAGGACGCCTCTTCGATCCGATGCTGTGAAGCATTTGCCAAAATATTTTCAGTGCCCGACACTTGTCGGTTCCTCTGTGTGTTTTGAGTTTGAAATGAAGATTGACAGCTTAATGTATTTTCGCTTACATCAAACCGCGGCCTTTGTTGACTAATTTCCCCACGGAGCTCAAGACCAGGCCACTCCTTCAAGTGCCTCAAGTGGCGGCACGCAAATTTTGCATCAAGTGCAACAATTAGTAAATTAAATGAACTTTTTCACCCTCCATTAAGTTGAACTTTAAGCTCAACTTTTTATAACAGCGCACAAGAAAAGAAAAATAAATAAATTCAATGAAATAATTTCGAATCTTTCATATACCCTATAGAGCTTAATTGACATTTCGGGATTTATAGTCAACTGCCAAATCGAAATTTATGGACTTTGTGTCAGACAAAAATTATATAACATTTTATATGTGACATTATAAATACATAATTTCATCAATTAAAATCGTATATTCATAATTTATCACTCAGATGATGCGTTTCACTATGTTGTTTTAAAAGAAAATGCTTTTATATTCATAATTATTCATGATATTTATTTATAGTCAGGTAGGTTTGCCTCTCTATGCTATTCTATTCCATTTACGCCGTTAAATATGCAAACAGGGTATGAATAAAAAATGTGTCTGCGACATTGAAAAGCAATTAAAAATCTGCCATCTGGGCAATTAAGTTGATTTCTTTTGCGGAAAAGTTTTGACTGCGCTGTGCCCTGCCCACTTTATAAATCGAATGGCGTGGCATAATTTCTAATTGACAACAGTTAAGGCCCGCATTGCATTGATATACGCGACGCGATGCCGCAAAAGTGTTCAATCGTGTTTCGTTGTCAAGACCGTAAATTTGCTGCAAATCAATTTGGAATTTTACAGGCTTTGTTTGGCCAAAGAAATCATATAACCAGGGAATTTTTGTTTGTGGCGTGCAGATTTATGGAAGTAATAAATAATAAAATATAAAATAAATATTAATATATACCCATGGTATATATTTACATTTGAGTGTAAGTCTATTACTTTGTTTTCATTATTTTGCACACACTTGTCTACAGCGTGATAATCCTATATACAGCGCCCAAAAATCACACCAAATCACGCATCTTCAAAATGATATGGTTTACAATGTGCAAATCGAGTTGTGAATTGGAGATATATATATATAAGTTCCTTAAAGGTACAAGGTTAAATCTTGGCTAACTACAGCATATCATGCACAACATGGTATATACATATGTATGTATATGATTATTCAAATTAGCTGGTCGCATCTTCAGCACTAATTAGTAGCTATTTAATTTATGACCTTACCTTTACTAATAAGTTATATGGACTTGTGTGCATAGACAATTTTGTGATTAATAAAATAAAATAAAAATAGATACGAATAGCGAAAAGCGAATATCCTAAGTTAAATGTCAGTTTTTAAAATTATATTAATTTTTATATATTAAATAAATGGAATTTAATATATTTAATATAATATAAATTTAAATATATTTACAAAAAATCTATTGAATATATATTTCAAATTTTAAGAAACTGAATTTCAGAATTTATATTAAACAGAAATCAATAATAATCTGCACGCAATATACAAATTATCAGTGGGAAATTATCTATGGGAATATTCTCAGAAGTCTCGAGAATATAAAAATAATATGAGTGATGCACGGTAAGCCAATTCATAAAGACATTACTCAAAAGCATATCAAGTCCTGGCAAGCTTTCACTGTTTATTTATAGAAGAAATCTTCAGAAAATAAACAAACTTTTATGTCAACAATATTTGTGTGCCATATATAAAAAGCAACATAAAAATATGTGTGAAAAAAGCCGAGCATTCGTAAAATATAAACCGCAATCAGTCAGATTCAAGTCTCTTTTATGTGCGGGTGTGTGCGTAACGAAGGTGTTAATGGTTAATGGGCTTAATAGCTAAGGCAGCGGCCAGAGCGTCATCAACTGGACAAACAAGCCAAGAGGCGTGACAGAAGAGTGTGCTGAATGATGGCTGGAAAATGAGCGAGAGCGAGCGAGATAAATAATAGATTAAGGGGGTGCGGCAGAGGGGCGGGCATGTCAAGCACTTTTGTACACGTGCCAGCAGAGCGTTCGTTCGATCAACGAAAAAAAAAATATTAAAAATGAAAAAAGAAGAAGCTGCTGATAATGTTATGTGTATGAGTGATATGGCGATGGTTGGTGTTTTATGATGCTGTCCGGTTGACACGTGGCTAAAGCGAATTTAATACCCACACTTTATTTTTTTTTGTCATTAATCTTTACGACCCAAACGATCAGCTACCAAAGATGCTGCGCAACGAAAGGATTAAATTACCAACCAACCAGCAAACCAAACTGCCTGAGTGGATGTGCAAATAATGAGAAAAAGAGCATGAGATTGTGTGTATGTGTGTGTGTGTACAGCAAGTAGGTTATTGTCCTGGCGTGCTTTAACCTCTAACACAGCTTTAGCTGGGCTTAACTGGGTCAGTGGCACAAAACCTATTGAGCCTCTGACCCAAGCCCAGCAGCCACTTGCCAGCCCCCATTGCATTCATTCATTGTAATGATGTTGTTGTTGTTGTTGTTGTTGTTGGTGTTGTAGTTGTTGTTGTTGTTGTTACTGTGTCGCTTGTTCAAAATTGGTATAGTTGTTGCTACAAATCGTTTGGCAGCTTGTGGCGCGCATGCAACATTATCGATTACAAATCGAATTATGCACTTTTTCATGCACACGCTGTCCACAGCAGCCATCAATCATACGCCACACACATACTCACACACACACACACACACACATGTACGTGGAAAAAGGAAAACAGGTCAAATATTATTATCCATGCAAATTGGATTTATTACCCACAGTTAGTGTCAAAGTGGACCTTAAAAGCCTTTCCGTCCAATTAACATTATTAAAAAAGCTTTTCCTTCCAATTAACAAAGTTAACTTAGTCTCTGGACTGAAGAGCTCGGTTAGCCACGTTTGTTTATTTTTTAAGTACTACTACTTTATAAGATCTAGAATATAGTATATTTGTATTTGTATAGTAAATTTGTATTTGTATAAAATTATAAAATTTATCATTACATAACTAATATTTTTTTCTTATTTTTTTTTTTTATTCGTATTTTATTTTATTATTATTTATTAATTTTATAATTTTATTTATGTTATTAATATGTATATTTATTTAAAATAAATTTGTTTACATATTTTTTGTTTGCTCTGTCAACTGATGTAAT